TGAAGACAAAGGGGAAGAAATAGATGTTTTCCACAAGTTATGGATTTATCTGTCAATAGTGTTTTGAATCATTTGGATTATGATTTGACACCTCAACAGAGGTTTTATCTCTGAACTTGAACTTTCCACCTTCATGTCACTTTCATCTATTAATTACACTGTTGCTTGGAGTAGACCAGCCATTCTGACTGAAGCACACTTTGAAATCTTTCTTGACCCATACAGCTGAAATAAGTGCAGCTGTATCCAAAGGTGGCCATAGAGCATACGTCACACACAACCCCCCCTAAATAACAGAACACTACTTTATAAATAGATAATGTTATCAGCATGGTGACAAGAACAATAACTTGTCAATAACCCCATTGATTGTTGTTTTTAGATTCTCAGCTTCAGAAATAGGATTTGACTGTATATACCCTTGGCAAACTGCAAATACAAACTGTATATACCCTTGGCAAACTGCAAATGGAAAGTATTGATATAATTTATGCATGATTGGTGACTACAAGCAATCTGAAATACAGGGCTCTCTCACTGATGAGAACAATGAGAAGGTAAAGGAGGATCTGGAAGAAAGGCATAGCCAGGCCAAGGTCAGCAACAGGTAGACTGCAAAGCAAAAACAAGCAAACAAAAAGATAGGTTTCTGTGTACATAGGTTTCTGTGTACATGCACTTCACAAAAGTGCAATTTCTGACAGTTGAGAAGTATCCTTTTCTAAACAACCCCAAGTACATGACAGCATACAAATGTTATTGAAATCACGGGAGAAATAAAGGCAAAAGGCCTGTTGATTGTTTATTTAGAAACCAGTAAAAATGTAAGAATGAAGAGAAGGAATAGATGTCATCAAGTGGCAGTTGTAGAAACTGCAGCGGAGCCAGTTTTGTTTTGCATAAAATGCAACAGAACCATCATACAATAATATCAGTGGAAGGTGGTTTGTTTTGCTTTAGAACTGCTTTAGAACTACTTTAGAACCCCACGCAAAAATAGCTTTAAGACGGTCGATGTAGCTTAGAAGAAGTAAAAGGAAGTCAACTTCAGGTCAGAAGGAGGTCTCAAACTGATCTCACATGCAAGCTACTTGTACCTGAAAGCATGCTGCATTTGCCTACTAACACAAGCCCTAAGAGGATCAAGTTTTTGGAGAAAAAGGTTCCATTCCAGGACACAACTGCTTCCCCTGGTGAGAAAGAGGTATGTATAGTGCCACTAAACAGTTTTGGCCTTTCCTGTGTTCCTCAGTTATTACACATTTTTTAGTTACACAATCTAATAAATAAGAAAATAAACATTTTAACCTCTTGCCGTCCGCCCATAGTAAAAAAACAGACGGACGGCACTGCTGCATTTGCGGGTTGCCGTCTCCAGACGGCAATTTTTTTCTGCTCGCGCGCGCCCCCTAGCGGGCACGCACGGGCAGAATCTAACCTTTTTTTGCCATAGTTCTCTTCAGGGTCACAGAAGGACATATACTAATGTCCTCCGGTGACCCAAAACTCAGCATATAGCGGGCTATTGTCTGCTAAATGCTGAGAGCGCAGAGCTGCGCCAAAGCTTGGACAGATCCCAACAATACTGTCGAGATACACCCTGCTGGCTGATTGACAGCTGGCTCTGCCTCTAGAGAGCAGCTGTGCCTGCCCCCTCCCCGTCCGTTCCTCTAGTCAGCAATGGAGAGGGGGGAATCCCTGCGGGGAGTGGTGACTGACAGTCACTGCTCTCTGCAGGGAGAGAATTGGGAAGTCAGCGATCAGCGGCTGACAGCTTGAATTATGGGGATGAGTGTTTTTCACTCACCCCATCATTTTTCTTTAATGCATTGATTGAGCATTGTTATCAAGCACTAGTACATCTACCCAGTTAAAGGGTCAATTCGAGACAATTCGTGTAAAATGATGGAACTCAGTCCTTTGGGGAAAAAATAATACATGGTGTAACATAAATGTAGATTGTATTAATTTTCAATTAAACCTGTCATTAAAGGAGAACTATGAGGTGAGTGCCTTTCACTCACCTCATAGTTCTAGCCGACCTGTGACAATGAGACTGTCACAGGTCGGCTCAGTAGATCGGGAGGTGAGCGAACACATGCCGGTGTTCGCTCACTTCTCGATCCTGTCACGGCTCTCTGCCGTGACAGGGGAGGGGATGGATTCCCCCCTCCCCGCTCCGATCCGCCAGTGCTGACTGGCGGAACAGACGGGGCGGGTACAGCTGGCTCTGCCTCTAGATAGGCAGAGCAAGCTGTCACTCACGCAGCTGGGCGGATCTCGACATCGATGTCGGGATCCGCTCCGGCTGGGGTGTCTCAGTATACCGCGAGCTGTAGCTTAGGGTGATGGGAGGACGCTAGTTTGTGTCCTCCTGTTACCCTAAGGAGAACTATGGGGAAAAGCCCTGACCCCATAGTTCTCCTTTAAAGAAACATGAAAACTGCCATTACTGAAATATTTCTGAAAATATTAAATGCTTTTTCTTATCAGAAACAAGTAGGCAGATGTGCAGTCAAGAAAAAGTCAGCATTCCTTATCTGCATACTTGTTTTAACTTAGTGCCTCAAATTATTGAAGCAAAAGTCTCAGCATGATAGCCAATAAACTAGCAATTTCCAGAGAGGTTACAATCATTTGGAAAGTCAAAAAACTCTATATGCTTTGCTGCCATATAAAAATGTCAGCATATATGGGTTGATATGGGTACTAATCATTGGAATTTCTATTAGTAAGTAGCATTAGTCAAGTAGGATACATTGCTTCAATTAACATTGGTCTATACCTCCTTTTTAGGACGATATTCTCGGTAGAGTTTTACTTATTAAACATTGACACATGCGTTTCCTTTAATATTCTTACATTTTGTTCATGATCTGTGACTGTTTACCACAATATAGTAGCAATCACACACATACTAGCTGATTCAATAAGGCAAACAGATGTCACACTAAAACCAAATCAAGGAATGGTGACTTTTTTGACTGACAATGTACTTTCCACTTTGCTCTTTGAGATGGATGTAAAATGCAGGTGCTAGCTAGTACACAAAACAGTACATGTAACTAATACAAAAACAAAAGCTATACACAAAAACACAAGCTATATGTTTTCCTTTCTGTACAGAAAAAAATGGTGTCAGCAGTACTTTTCTTTAAAGTGTCAGCAGTTGCTTATAGAAAGCTTTTCTCTTCCTGTTTAACAGCACGGAACATCATTTGCAATTGGAAATGTAAAACTATTTGCTAACATTTTTCACACAACTAAAATGTTTAAAACATTAGTTTGAGGAACATACAGTAAGAAGACATACAGAACAAAAATAGGTGTGGCTAAATTTTACTGCAGCTTACTGAAGCATGGTACAATATCGTCTAAACCTACATACTGTATACACTATACACAGTCTGCAGTCCTCATACCCACAACATATTCCATAATTACTATGCTGTGAGTAATGCCAACATAATACATAAAAACATAAGAGAGCAGAGATATTTGAGAAAATACACGCAACAGTTCTGAAATGCCCCTGCTCTCTTATGTATGCTGGCAACACGATTAATCCATTTAGAAAACGGTTTCAAAGACACAGAAGCAACATTAAACTTGCAATTGAGCTAAAATGACAGGCCAAAGATATTGACCCAAACAAGCCCATGGCAGTAAATTGTGCTCTAAACAACCACCAGGTGCACAAACTTTGTGCCAAAGTCATCGAACATGTACCAAGACCACATAGAGGAGGCAATAGGTATAATCATTTGTTGCGTAGAGAAGCCTTCTGGTTTCATAAACTCAATACAGTGAGACCCAGAGCGTTAAACACCACATTATCACTATCATGCTTTCTCACAAACTATTCATTTGTATCTACAGGCTGTCACCTGCACATCAATAACATGACTTTACCATATTTGTGCCCCCAGTACCATCCTTTGTACATATGCACCATGACTAATATCGTTATACCGTGATAACATCTATCCAGTCCATGCGTTTTGATCTCGTGTTTACTAAATATCATTTATTTAATTCTATGTT